CAGAAAATCGACATTTTCTTCTTTATAAAGCAATTTATGGGAGGTGAATATCAAATACGTCCTAGCAGTCTTCACATACACCGCGTGGATGGACTTGGCAGTAAAAGAGTTAAACTCATGCAATAAACTTTCCACTTTGACAGCCTCAAGGAAACAATACTATAATATTGATTAATATTGATTAATAATAATACAGTATTATTTTATATAAACATAGTCATACAGTAATTTATTTCAGTATAAGCGACAAAATTTAACTCTCCAATGCGGAGAGCTGCTACTTATTAATATAATTTTCGCATTCATTATGAGTTGTTGTGTTTATGTAAACTGTGATTTTTAATAATATAAAAACTAAAAAATTGTTTTTTGTTAATGAATATTATTGTTTATAGAATGTGCACTTACTTAGATTATTACTAGTTTTATACTGTTTCCACATAACACAAAATATGCATTTTACTTTGCATTTTTAGCATGTATCGAAGAAAATTCGATACAGTGGGGCCCCGAGTTACGTCCTCCCAATTTACGTCGTTTCGCAGTTACGTCGTCCCTGCGTAACGCGGTGATCAATTGTTTTTAATCAATATTTCTCATTCTACTTGTTTAATTTTAACTAAATCAGTCTGAAGCTTACTTGAGTAAAGAATTCGTCGTACTATAGATTAATTTTATAACGTTTTTATGGGTAAATAATTTCAGATTGTATAGTTTGTACACAGTTGAAGAACTTATCAGAAATATATTTACCATAAACATCAGTACACAAGTGCAATTAATCGAGAATTAAGATTATTATTTACGAATCTGTAACGACACCATAGTGTCAAATGTCCTCATCCTTAAATTATATTGTTAAGAGAAGGAAATACTAATGGAATGCAAGGTTTTGAGATTAACTGAAAAATAAATTTGCAGAAAACAACTTTGAAGACGTTTCTTAAAGATAAAATACGTATTTTATTTGCGATAATTCATTAACATCGTGGTTTATTCGATTCTTCGTAAACGTTCGTTAAATGTAATCTCTTCTATCTTTTGTATATGTTACAGTAAATTTGACTAATCCGGCATTTATACATAACCCCCTGGAAATTATGTATAATCACCAATAACATTGAAGAATGATTATGTCTAACCCCCGTTTTATTATATTGCCCGGAACATATACATTTAAAAGGAAATGTATCTCCTAATCTGATAGATACTTGTACAACTATGAATGTTCGCATACATGCATATTCGTTTACCCTCTATACCCTGATTTATGGTCTTTTCGACTCATGTTACCCATTCCGGAACCAATTAGGACGTATAGTAAGTTGGGAGCTCCATTATATATTTACGTTTTATACAGATCATCTTCGTTTCCTAACTGAAGGTCCCGCTGGACAGTCATTTGGGTTAGGTCTGGATTATTATTTATGTAACACTTTCGTCTCGAATGATACACATAGGTACCGCGAACATTTGAAATTGGAAAGCTAGAAAACGCCTACATAAAGGAAAATTTGTACCATACTGGGATCTTGGCTTATGGCTGACATCTTAAGCGCTAATCAATTATCAGTGCGTACATGTGTTTTTATTTATTAGTGCGCAGCCGTAAGTTCTTTTTCTCGAAATTCGTATTAAAAAGAAATCCATGTTCAGGGGCTAAAGAGTTAATATTATAACACATTATTAATATTTTATTATTATTAATTATTATCAGTATTATTAATATTATTAATATTATTATCATCGTTATTATTACTATTACTATTAATATTTCATTTATTAAAAACAAAGGTAATTCGTGTAATACGCAAGTACTTATGTATATGGCAAAATAATAAGATGTATATAGACTACAGATTTAAATGAAACAGTTAATGCAGTACGTAATTTTTAGCGACAACTGGGCAGCGAGTTTGCACGCACTGCTTCGTCCGTGTAAACAAAACACTTGCTCCTCACTGTTGGAATTATATTATTTTAGGTTCGGTGTAGAAGAACAATTTGTAATTAATTGCTGCAGTAGTAACTTGCAGCAAGAAGTTGGTCTACACGTGGCCTAAAAGTTATTAATTTAGCAACCCATTTGTTCTCTGATATGCTTGTAAATATTTTTATAATTTTTTTCTATTATATTATATTATAAAACAGGTATACGTATAATAGGGCATACTTTAAATCCCGCGAAACATCAAAATTGTTGAAGGACACGTAGAGCAATAGCACAACGATACAAATAATATTTTTTAAAACAAAAGTTACTTTTTTTATTATTGTAAGTCGCTTGATATTTTCGAAACTACATTTTGTTACAATAGATTTGTATTACAAATGTCTTGTGGAACGTTTTGTCGTTTCATGAGTGTCTCGAAAGGAATACTCCTTAATATCTTCAAGCACAAACGTCTATATATCTCGAATCGAAAATACATGAGTTAAGCCACTTCTATAATCACTGACACAGACATCGTATCTATAACATCTGATTGTTCATTTGAACCGGACACAAATGATTTGAAACATTAATATTATTAAATACTGCTATTATATTGCAGGTATATACCACAATACTATATAGTGGTATGCAAAAATTAGTAGCATTGACAATTAGTTAAGTCACAACTTTTTGATCGAAATTGTAATTGATTTTACAATTGTTTCAACTGTTAATTGTTAATTGCATTTTGGTAATTACTAATAGTTATTAGAAATAAACATAAACGTTTGATAAATTACATATAATTATTTACTTATTTATTTATGTATTTATATACTTATATATATATGACAATTAACTGTTATGATAGGTGTTTAAAATTTCTGGGTATAAGCAGTGTCCATTAGGAACGATTTTCTAACGTTTCACTAGCATTGCAGCTGACATCATCACGGGCTCGGGGACTCACTGATGCTGGTTAGCCAGAATCAGTGCTTCCTATTTAACGTATTAACTGTGGAGTTTAGATTCAAAAATTTCTCGTTTTGCGTGCAAAAAAATAAAAAATCGTAATGTGTACTCGTCTAATGCATGACGAATGCACCTAGAGTGTATTTTAATAAAAAACCAAAGCAAACCAAAGAAGAATTACATGTTTATTGGAAGAAATAAAGAATTCATCGTTGAAAGAATTAGTATCGTTTCAAGCTTTAAGATTGCGTATATACTTGTCAAACGCAGTTGACTGGTTAAACGTATACCTTGCTCGGCGTTACGGATAAATGATCACGAATCAGGTGATCAGAATCAGTGAGTCCTGAAGCCTGAAACAAATTAACTGTTAGTACATTAACTGTAAGTTTTAAAAATCAAAATTGTCATTTAAAATTAAATTTTTGTAGCCTAACTGAAATTAACGATTGAAATCAGTTGCAATAGATATTAATTGATACTGAACATTACTATTAAATATCACGTAAGGTAAACATGTTCATTATTCATGAATACAACATATCTCTATTACCGATTAGTTGTTTCTTTCATACGATTAAAGACTATAGCTACGTAACCCTTTCTCATACATGTATGTAAACTATTTTAGTTTTAAGTTCACTTGCTACGGGTCCTTATATTCAGCGACGCATATAATTAATATAAAAGTTTCAAATTATATTGCTTAATAAAAGGTAAACTGATTTTATTATGAGTAAGGTTGAAGATTAAATATATCTATATCAAAAGTTTACAAAACTGTAAAAATACAACAGAAAGATGCAAATACCACTTGAATAAAACTAGTACAGTGTGTTTTGTTTATCTAGCGTTGCAGTCTGCAATAATAATTTTCCTTAAAGTCTGATTGAACTAAGAGAAAGTAAAAACAACGTACGAATAATTAACATCCGACAAAATTATTTGTATGTTTCAGTAAACAACGCTTATTGCGTTCGTCTGATAGCCAGAGAAAGCCGGTTTGCTTTTTTAGTATAATTATTACAGTAACAACTACTTAACAATACTTAACACTTTAACCATTATATTGGCACTTATCAAATTACTCATAGAATCAAAACAATTTTCTTAACGAAACAGAAACTGAAGAGTCAAGATTCCTCATAGTCGTCCTCAGGTCGCTCTCTTAACCCCTTGACCTACAATATTGAGTCAATCTCGCGATGAAGATTTTATATTGCATTTGGCAAATATAAGTGTTATTTATTTTTTACCAATATAAATTAAATATTACTTTTCTACTACCAATCGTCAACCTTTTGAGTAAACGTGACCATAGAATAATCGTAATTTTTGTTTTACTAATAAATTATTAACGATAAAGTAGTTACGTCGATCACAGTTAAGAAATAAATCATAGGACATGACCTTAAACATTCATTATTTCACCAATTTGAAATATTAACCCTTTGCACTCCATAGACGTTTCTCAGTAGCCACTCGATTTGATACAGCAAGATTATAAAGTATAATATTTAATGTTCAGTTTCGTACGATGCATTAATATGTGAAATATTAAAATAAAACAACCTCTTTCATTAATTTATACACGATTTATCGTTAAGTTAGCTTCAAGAAACATTAATTATATATCATCAGGATGTATTCAAAGGGTTAATAAAATAAATTCTTGTAAATTTGATTTTAACCTTCTTGCATTTTATAAATCCAATAGAATTCTGTTTGTTCGATATGTTCCCGAGAAAATTCATGCCTGAATTCAAGCAACATAGCGGTCAAAGCGTGAAACGTTAATCTATACCACAAATCTAATGATTTTGCCTCGCTGCAGGAGTTATCTGATATCCAAATCCTTCACAATTATTTCGCAAGAATTTTATATAACAGTTCGAAATAATTGCTTGCAGAAGAGTTTCAGTGGTTGATCACAAAATTCCATATTTTTCACTTAACTTCGGCAAAAGGTGTTAGCTATTGCAATAGAATTTCAACATTATTACGGTTTGCGCTTTCGAATGTGGTGCGCGATTCACTTTCTAACCCCTACCTGGTAGCCAGCTTCTCTCCCACTCGGTGAGTCATTGTCAGATCGGTATCACGGCACGGCCGGCAACTCGAGCTTGAAACGCGTTGCGTTTGTTAGTAACGCGTGTGCGCTCCTACCGTTTGCGTTCTTCTTTTGTACTGGATTTCTTTTTGCCGCGATAGCGTCGCGTTTTTAATCGTTCAGTCGATACCTTTGGAATCAGTGTAGTGCAATAAAAATATGTTCAGATAATCGAGTTGCTCTGATGACTTAATCAATAAGTGACTTATCGTTTAGTGCCGAGAAATCAGTGAAAAAGTTAGAAAAACTTGGTTGTGAAGTTTATGTTTAATGAGAGAAACTCGAGGAATTGCTTGAAACGGTTTGACACTGGTATTATGTTTTAATAATCCTTTGCACTCAACTGTCCCTTCTATGGGGACATCGTATAGGTAATAAAATAATACGAGAAGATTAATTTATTATAATAATCATAACAAAATAATAGATTGATGTTTTATTCCAAGTATCAGTTAAACAGAATAATTATATTATGATTTTCAATGATACACTATTTTATTCGAAATGAAATATTACTCTACTATATTCTCAATATAGTGTGCGAAAAATTCTATAAACGCTGATGGTTAATTTCAGTTATTGTCTAAAAACGAACAATTTTGTCAACTTAAATACAACTGTTTTTAATCTTTATACCACCTAATGATTTTTCGGATTTATATATTGTATACTGCCCTTGAAATAATCCAGTTTCGAAGTAAGTAAACTTTCAGGCTCTGTGTAGTAAACAAAATGTACTTACACGTGTGCATATATATATATATATATATGTAGCCTCCAGGAAAAAAGAAATTCTGGCTAAACAGCAGCGTTCGATTATAATTTAACGTAACAACGTAAAGGTTGGAACAGTTTTTGTTGCCTACTTATTTTATCTGTAGGCGAATGTCTGTTATCGTTTGCTCTTCGAAATTTGCATTTGAGGGAGATTAAACGTACCACATGGCAAGCTTTAAAAATTGTTATTCTTTTAGACCCTTTTTCTAAAACAATGAACACAAAAACAAGAACAAACGCAAAGTAAAAACAAACATTATCGTAGTTATGAATCTGTATTAATAATTTAATTATACATTTGGTTTTAACAATGAAATCTCGTATATGACAATATTGACAATGTAATACAATTGTTAGACAGTTATTCTACAATGATTAGGCTTATGCAAATAATCATCATCTAACCGAAAATTAGGAATTAATGATGCTCTGCATCAAAGTTATAGTTTCCAGACAGAAAATTTTTCTCTGTTTTTTTGTTTCTTTTACTGTGTAATAGAAACTTTTACTGTAAATAGAAAATTCACCATGTTTAAAGTTATTTCCAACATATCCATATGAAATTTGAAATAAATCTGTTTTTAAATAATCATAGACATTGTTTCTTAAAACTTGGTTTTGTTAAAAATGCATTTAACATTTAAGAGAGAAACATTAAGTTTACCTCTTTCCATAAAGTTATTGCTTCTGCTATTTCAATGGAAATACTTGAAACTTAAAATGATTCCTTTAATTAACATATATTATTTATACAGAGTGATTCATAAATACATGCCAATACATCAGAGGGTAAATCTACACACCAAAACAAGTAGAAAACGTCATACGAACATATGTCCGATATACCTTAATTTCCTTACCATAATACATAATATGAACATGTATTTTTTAAAATATCAATTTTGTGAAAAAAATCTTACGGCTGCGCGTTAATCAACCAAAACACATGTACATACTGATAGCTGATTAGCGTCTAAGATGTCAGCCATAAGCAAAGCCATCACCGTGTGGTACAATTTTTCTTTATCTACGCATTTTCTAGCTTCCCGGTAATTTCAAATGTTCCTGGCACCTATGTGTACCACTCGAAACGAAAGGCTTAATACGTCTTAACCGTATTTAACGTTTATAAATAACATTCATCGATAGTGATCTTCTGATCTGAATCCATTAGACGTTTACCTTTGAGCTCATTCGAAAACTATTCGGTATGCAACGTAAGTGTATAAGGCGCACGATTTGCGAGAAAGGATAGAAAATGAGACAATTGAGACTATTCGAAGGATACCTGGTATCTTCGAGCGAGAGCAGAATTGAATACTATGACGCACATTGTGTCGAAAGGCCTGTATTCTCTTATGGAATGTCTTAAATTGTGTATCTTCGGAATAAAATTCTATAACGTGAAAAATATAAGTGATACAAACAAATATTTCAGATAAAAGTTGTAAGGTACAGAGCAAAGAACATCGTGGTTGCATCTGTTTGACATGGCAGTAACCTTGAAATTATCTCTAAAGGTCACTACTGATATTTTGCGGAAAAACTACAGTGGATCACAAAATTATTCGCTCAGTCGATAGTGTGGTAAAGATAAATGAAGTAACCATACAACGAAGAACTTTTTCAGATTTCTTTTAATGGATATACATTATTTACAGTTCAGTGTAACAAAATGGTATAAAAAAGTATAAAGTTTTGATTTA